AATTACGGTACTCCCATTGCAGCTAACAATGATCTTCTAGAGGCTGAAAATATGTACATGTAATTATGTACCGTATTTGTCCGTAATAAGACCATGCCTGGTAATAAGCCCACCCATATACATTGCAGCTCACTAAAAATGTAATTTGATTGCCCTATAATAAGCCCACCTCCGTATTTTGAGTAAAAGAGGATGTTTTGCCCACCTGGGCATTTATTGGAGGATGAAAACAACTAAAGTATGTTACCCAACTACATACATTTTGTTACTACTTATCTGTATCATCATGTATGAAATTACAATACATTACTTCATTTTGTAATGACTTGTCGACACGTGACCGTATTTGTGACCTTTTAGATGTCCAAGATACAACAACCTGACCAGCTCATGTGTGCTGAAGACCAACCCTAGTGATCCCTGCTGTCTAGCCCCCGACTGTAACCAGTACCCAACACCTCGCCCTAACCTACCTCCGGTACCTGGCGCATCACCAACCACACCTCTGCCTATCTATGTGCCATCTGCTGTCACAGGCAGCTTCATAGGCTCAGCACAAAATCCCAATGGAATTACGGGAGGAGGAATCAGTGAGTGTTTAAAATTAGGAGTTACAGAATGACTTTACCACGACAGAATATTGTCAATGAAGATTTTCAGCATTTTGGCTGATTTCGGCCTTTTTCAGACTTTTAGTGTAATCTAAACTTAAAAAAATTCCCAAAGAAAGGTTGGAGAAATAGCATTTCAAACTTTTTGCCCATAATCTCTTTTTCATCTCTAGCATTAAATTATTCTAGCAGAATAATAAGTAAAAAAATCAGAAAGTGTTTTTTCTTTCTTTTTTTTTTCTTTGAGAAGTTCTTGATTAATTTAATTTTAATATTATGATTCGTGCATATGATTTTCTCCCCCAAAATAGTCTTTTTTGATATTTGTTTTTCTGACATTGTGGTGACATTGCATTGTAGACTACTGTGTGTACAAGGGAAAAGTGTACAATCAAGGCATGACATGGGACGATGGATGTAACTACAAGTGTACCTGTGAGGATGCCAGCCGTGGTCTGTACAGGTGTAACGACAGGTAAGTACCATCAGACAGAGTGTAGAGTCAAGGTATGTCAGCCGTGGTCTGTACAGGTGTAACGACAGGTAAATACCATCAGGCTGAATGTAGAGTCAAGGTATATCAGCCGTGGTCTGTACAGGTGTAACGACAGGTAAGTACCATCAGACTGAATGTAGAGTCAAGGTATGTCAGTCGTGGTCTGTACAGGTGTAACGCCAGGTAAGTAACATCAGACTGAGTGTAGAGTCAAGGTATGTCAGTCGTGGTCTGTACAGGTGTAACGCCAGGTAAGTAACATCAGACTGAGTGTACAGTCCAGGTATGTCAGTCGTGGTCTGTACTGGTGTAACGCCAGGTAAGTACCATTAGACTTTAGTGTAGAGTCCAGGTAGGTAGGTAGCATTATACTTGAGTGTAGATTCCAGGTATGTCAGCCTTGGTCTGTACAGGTGTAACGATAGGTAAGTACCATTAGACTGAGTGTAGAGTCAGGTATGTCAGCCGTGGTCTGTACAGGTGTTACAACAGGTAAGTACCATCAGACTGAATGTAGAGTCAAGGTATGTCAGCCATGGTCTGTACATGTGTAACGACAGGTAAGTACTATTAGACTGAGTGTAGAGTCAGGTATGTCAGCTGTGGTCTTTACAGGTGTAACGACAGGTAAGTAACATCAGACTGAGTGTAGAGTCAAGGTATGTCAGCTGTGGTCTGTACAGGTGTTACAACAGGTAAGTACCATCAGACTGAATGTAGAGTCAAGGTATGTCAGCTGTGGTCTGTACAGGTGTAACGATAGGTAAGTACCATTAGACTGAGTGTAGAGTCAAGGTATGTCAGCCTTGGTCTGTACATGTGTAACGACAGGTAAGTACTATTAGACTGAGTGTAGAGTCAGGTATGTCAGCCGTGGTCTGTACAGGTGTAACGACAGGTAAATAACATCAGACTGAGTGTAGAGTCAAGGTATGTCAGCCGTGGTCTGTACATGTGTTCATATCATTTTAATTTTTGCAATGACATCATTCTATGAAGCAACAGATCTAGAACAGTGAAAAGATGTCTAACCTAGAAAAGATACATACCTTTAAATTTAAACTTGAGAAAATGAAATATCCACGCCTCATATATTTATTAAAAAATCTCGCATAAATAAAAACTGTTCCTCGTGTATTGTAGATGTCCACAGTACTATCAGCTACCATGGCAGTGTCATTATGAGAAAGATCCTAAAGACACATGTTGTCAGACAGCGAAATGTGACTTCAACCTGAGCCCGACCCCTGCTCCCTCTACTCCGTCCCCTATCACCATGGCTCCAACTGCTCATGGCTGGACAGGTCCTACCGTCAAACCACTTGGTAAGACGTCATAAAAAGGAATGTAGGATTCAGATTTACCAGCCTTTGAACCCTGAGTTGTTGATAGGTGTGGGTTTTATTCAATTCCCTGTGTCATGGGCCACTTGGGTTAGACCTCTAAATAAGGTCTTGAAATGATTAAAGCAAAAAAAAGTATGTTTTCATTTTTTTTCCAAATTATGACCTATTCATCTTTTTCAATTATCCCCAAGGTATGCAATGGATACATTGAAAGTTTGGTAATTATGATTTATAAAATATAATTATTTCAATAAAGGTAACTCTTACCCAAACTACAGGAGAGATTTAACGTTTGAGATAACATATATATCCATTATAAATCACTATTGAAATGTGTTTACTTCAGACGTATGTATGTACCTCGACAACACGACCTACAGTAAGGGCCAGACGTGGGATGTCGGCTGTGACTTCCACTGTGTGTGTGAGGACCCCAGTCAAAACAAGTATAACTGTAATGCCAGGTAAGAGACTGTAACCCATCCTCGAAGTCAGTGTTTCCGCTCTCGATACTCATATCTTCTCTGAACCCCTGAAATCATTCATGAAATCCCAGGGTAACACCCTCAATACTCATATCTTCTCTGAACCCCTGGAATCTTTCTTGAAATCCAAGGGTTTCCGCTCTCGATACTCATATCTTCTCTCCCTGAAATATGTCAAAAGAATAACAAATGCTCGCATTAAAAAATTTGATTGGTTTCCGCTCTCGATCTCGAAACTTATATCTTCTCCGAACCCCTGGAATCATTCTTGAAATCCCAGGGTTTCCGCTCTAGATACTCATATCTTCTCTCCCTGAAATATGTCAAGAGAATAACAAATGCACGTATTAAGGTATAAAACCTGACCAATCACAAGGCTGATCAAAGACTGGGCAATTAGTTTAGTTTTAACATGTTAGGGTGAATGAGTTAAAAACAAAACTATCAACTTTACCATTACGCTGCGACACGATTCCTTTGATCTTCATCAAAAACATCAGACTAGCCTATCTGTATCATCCACAAAGTGTAAGTAAAGAGCCTTCAAAGACTTTCATCAGTCTGTCATCTTGTTTACCAGGTGCCAGGTGTTTGCCAGTCTACCTTCTGTGTGCACCCTTATACCTGATCCTAGTGATAAGTGTTGTGAGGTGCCCAGCTGTGGTTCCTACATGCCCGTCACTGTGATCAACGGAACAGCCACTGCCCCTCCCAACTCTCTCAATGTGCTGCCCGTGGGAACCCATGACCTGATTGCTGGCTCCAGTTGGGGACCAGGTTCAGGCACGCATCCTGTCACAGGCAAACGCGGTAAGAACACTATATAGTCGACTCTACATACCTTGAACATAAACCCGGAAGAATTGAGTACTTCATACTGTGTAGATTTCATGCTAAGTTTATTCCTTTGGAATTATTAAGCATGTCTTTGATTCTGGTAGTGTTACATCACTAGAAATGTTCGCTGTCATATATAAACTGAATACTGAATGTACAGATTATTGTACAACTTCTTAGAATAACATGTGCACAGCTATGAAAATAACCCTGTATTTAGATTTCTGTGAAAAATGAATAATTGTATGAAATTACTTCAATTTTTTGTAATAAAGATTGACTATAGATATATAAATGAACTATAACTGTTTTTGGTTCTGACAAAGTGTACTCGGCCTATCCCTGTGTTAGAGAGATCCACCGTAATATCTAAGGGGAGATAATCTATTTCAGCAAAATGATTTGTATGTATTCAATGGATCTATTATCATTTTCATTTTCTTCATGCCCCAGTACCATTTTANGGGGGGTGCCATATGCATATACTGTTACCCCTAGGCAATTCATGCCAGGCTCTTAAAATTTCTTTTCTTAATAGTTTGTTATAAAAGTATATACCTTGAATGAGTTCATATTCAGGGGCCCGTTAGTATTCAGTGGCCCGTTAGTTTTCAGGGGCCCATGGTCACTATTTGCTTTGTATAGGCCACTCAGGTCTAACAGAAGTTTATGGTCTGTGTAAACTATGAATCTTTTATATGATTTGAACATTGACAATTTTTGAGTGCTGAGCTGAGACAAGAAGTAAGATTTGTGTAATCGGTTATGTTCTTCTAATAATTGTGGTGTACTTTCTCTCCAGATAAGTGTATATACAAGGGTCAGGCCTACTCACAGGGCCAGTCCTGGAATGACGGCTGTCAGTTCGTATGTACTTGTGAGGACTCCAGCAAGGGTGTTTACAGATGCTTGTCCAAGTAAGTCCTATTTATACTGTTGATGTAATAAATGATTTGGATGAGACTTGAAAGTTTTGTTCAAGATCATATGGAATTTTTCAAATAGATAACTTTACAAGCTGATCAGGCCAAAAAAATAAAATATGTGTGTTTCCTGTTTCTGCTTAAAAAAAATTCAGGTTGGTAGGCACATTTTTTCATTTTTTTTTTTAAATATTTTCACTATGCTTATATAGAGCAAGAGTTTTGACTTTAGCCGTGCTTATCAATAAATGCCAGTAAAAACTTTAGGGTAGGCACAAAAGTTGAGGGTCGATAGTGTAACGTAGGATGAGCGTCGAGTAGTTACACGGCAAATGAAAACAAGATTTCGAATACATATTTACAATTTATTTACAACATAAACAAATCACACTCACATCCACACAGTTTCACACATAATGATCCTATAAACTACACAAAAAGTCTCTGCTGCACCCTGAGGTAGTTACAGTTCTCCTGGACTCTATTGTAAGTCTCCTCGGCTCCAATAACAATATGTTCTGCTAAAACTTAGCAATCAGATGACTCTGATCAATGTCCACACAGGACACCAAGTTCCACAAAGGACAAGTTCCACACAGGACACTAGATTGGTGTATAGTACCAATATGTACATATAGTTACCACACTCCTGGTAACTGGAAGGTGGAAATACATTTCCAGTGCGGCCTCCGGCAACAGTCATTGTTGTAGTGTCGGCTGATGACCACGGTTGAGTTCCCCTTCTTTCACCACCAAACTAATTACTCTTGGTCTGTTCTCGTGTTCAGATCACCAAAAGGCTGACCTTGACTGACGTCGGTCCTGGCGCTTATCACTGGTGTCTCTAACAGGCCCCGACAGAGCTCAGCTGGTAGGCATCGAACCCTCACATGAAGCTTTAAACATAATAACAAAAACACCTAAGTACAACTCGCAAACATATCACATACGATTCCAAACAATTACTAATAGTAATATACTTAAGTTTATGCCCTATTAATTTTACACCAGATAACAATTAAACCTCTACAAAATATTATGAAAATATAAGCTAGAAAACAATAAGTTACGCTCTGATATCGTGCGGGTTCAGCATACAACAAATAACATAATTTATACAACACTTGAAGTTCTATATGGCCACTCATGTCTTCCATACTTTTCCATACACGCATATGCACTCACCTGATCGCGCTTTACTATATATACATAACATAAATATACGTTATACTACGTGGAATTGCATATAAAACAGATATCAATATAGATAGTTACAGCAACCAATAGCAATAATATTTGCAAAACCTTCCTAACAAATCATTATACATAATGTCACCATGAAACGCATGACTGAACCGCACGAGCGAACATCTGTTTACTTAGGATATTTATCCAGAAATGGGCTAAAACATCAGACAAAGAAACAGAGATATAGTAAAGAAATACTCACCACAGTCTGTTATCTGTGCCTGTACATGTTTCAATACTGCATTTGCAGTAGAATCGGGTAAACAAACTCAGCGAACTTGCTGGAGTTTCAAAGCGTCCCGCTTGGACTTACCCATTTCCGGTTACTCTCCAAAACTACGGTCGCTCAGAAGGAACAACGAACAAACATAGCACAAACATATATAAAAACAAATACACACATTCATACGAACGTGACAAAATTCCCCCCGTTCCGGAAAAAAGTGGTAACACTTTTACAACATTCACGGAGTATGAATGTCTCAGATCCTGCTCAGGTAATCGGCTCCGACATTGTCCACACCCTTTATCGCTCGAATCCGGAATCGGTACGGCTGCAGTAACAGCGCCCAACGCATTAGTCTTGCGTTGGCAGTCCTTGAACGATGAAGGTAGGTAAGGGGTTGATGATCAGTTTCCAAAATAAACTCTCTTCCATACAAGTACGGTTCGAATTTCTGGATTCCCCAAACGATAGCCAAACACTCCTTTTCCACTATCGCATAATTCCTTTCCCTGGGTAAGAGTTTCTTGCTCGCGTAAGCTACAGGCAACTTCTTATCGTTGTCCTCCTGCAAAAGAACAGCACCCAGTCCCGTATCGGATGCGTCGGTGCGAAGAATAAAGTCCTGTTCAAGATCAGCAAGCTTCAATACCGGTCCCGCGGTTAGCATTTTTTTCAAGGTATTGAAGGCAATCTCTTGACTTTCCCCCCATACGACTTTGTTAGCACCACCCTTCTTTGTCAAGTCGGTCAGTGGTACACTGATGGCGGCAAAGTTTGGAATGAATTTTCTATAAAACCCCGCCAATCCCAAGAATGAACGCACTTGCTTCTTTGTGACTGGTCTTGGCGCTTCCTCAATGGCTTTCACTTTTGACTGTTCCAGTTCAAGTCCACCTAAACCCACCACATGACCAAGGCACGATAAACTTCCAAAACCTAATGCACACTTGCTGGGTCTAGCAGTCAGTCCTGCATTACGTAGACGGGAAAACAACTCCTTCAAAACATCCAAGTGTTTCTCCCACGTGGATGTGTAGATGAGAATATCATCTATGAAATTCTCAAGATGTTTCATTTCTGCTAACAACTTCCTCATCATACGGCTGAAAGTCGCTGGAGCGTTCACCAATCCGAATGGCATTACCCGGAATTGAAATAATCCCTGTGGTGTAGCAAATGCTGTCATCGGCTTGGCTTTGTCTGACATAGGCACCTGCCAGTAACCTTTGCTGAGGTCAAGTCTAGAAAAGAACCGGGCACCAGCAAGTCTCGAAAAGATGTCTTCCGTATTTGGCATTGGTTCTGCATCAAATACAGTCACTCGGTTCAATCTCCTGAAGTCAATGCAAAATCGGTTGGTGCCGTCTTTCTTTTTCACAATCACCACCGGCGCTGAATAAGGCGACGATGATGGCTCAATCACCCCCATTTCAAGCATCTTGTCTACTTCCTTCTTTATGACCTCTTTGGTGTTAAATGGCAAAGGATAGGGTTTCACATGCACCGGCTCAGTTGTTGTAGTGACAATATCATGCTCCGCAAGAACTGTTCTTCCTGGATGATCAGTCAACACATCCTTATAACCGGTCAATAACCTCTGCACCTCACTCCTCCGTTCTTGTGACAGGCTGTCCGCAATTTCAACATCTTCGATCCCTTCCTTTCCTTTGTCACAAGGAATAGTCTCCAAAACCTGGTTGAAATCAGTTTCTTTGATCTCATCTTCGTCAATAACCATCGACATTACACAAGCAAAAGCTCCTTCAATAGACACTGCCGCAAGATCTTGTTGGTTCTTCCTACGGATCTCATACTTTTTCAGCAGATTAATATGGAGTACTTTAACCTTTCCATCTCGGTTGACACGATAGTCTGATGGTCCAACTTTCTCAACAACTTCATAAGGTCCTCTCCATTGCATCAGAAGTTTGTTTGCCTTTGTAGGAAGGAGCACCAATACCTTATCACCCGCCTTTAAGTTTCGCTGTCTCGCTCTCCTGTTAAAGTACTTCTTTTGTTTGAACTTGGCATCCTTAAGATGATCCGCTGCTATACTACAGGTTTCTTCGATCCTCTCTCGTAAATCCATAACGTACTGATACGTTGTTTTCACTTCCTCGTCTGGTATATCTTTCGTCATAAGCTCCCTCAGAATCATCATTGGACCCCTTACTGCTCTACCGTACAGCAACTCAAACGGTGAAAATCCCAGTGATTCTTGTGGAACCTCACGGTAGGCAAAAAGTAGGGCATTAATAAATCTGTCCCAATCCTTAGGTCGCTCTGCACTCATCTTGCGCAACATCTGTTTAAGGGTACCATTGAACCTTTCCACTAAACCGTTGCACATGGGATGGTATGGCGAAGTGGTAAGCTGTCTGATTGACAGCAGTCGACTTACTTCTCGCATCAACTCCGACGTAAATTGCGCACCCTGATCAGTTAACATTTCAGAAGGGATCCCCACTCTGCTAAAGATATCTATGAGTGCCTCCGCAACTCTCTCAGTCTCTATACTCTTTAGTGCAACCGCTTCAGGATAACGAGTGGCATAGTCCACGACTGTCAAAATATATCGGTTTCCACGCTCTGTAGCTGGTTCCAGTGGTCCGATCAGATCCACCGCAATCCTCTTGAATGGGGTATCGATGAGAGGCATGTCACCCAAAGGAGCTTTGGGAACTCTCCCCTTCGGAAATGTCCGCTGACAGATATCACAGGATTTGCAAAACCGAATCACCTCCGCTTGAACACCAGGCCAGAAGAACTCCCAAAGAACTCTGTTGGTAGTCCTCTTAGCCGCTAAATGCCCCGACATGATGGATTCATGCGCCAGTCTCATCACCATCTCTCGATACTTTTCTGGAACAATCAGTTGCCGGAAAGTCATGCCATTCCTCACTCTCGGACTTTTAAACTTCCGGTACATTACACCCTTTTTATAAAAGATAGTAGATGAGCCCCCATCATCTCGCTCATAGGTTTCTTCGGCGGACGCCAACTTCCTGAACTTCTCCAATGTGGGGTCTTTCTGTTGCTCTTCTTTCAAATCTTCTACATTGCCTATATCCGTCATCAAATCAGGCACCTTCAATGGTCTGCAAGCAATCCCTTTCTTCTTCATCTGAGCGCGTGTCTCTACCGTTTGAACATTAGAACCCTTCATCTTCCAGTTCTTGTCTGGTTGGTCAGGAGGTAATGCACCATAAATATTACCTATAATCAAGTCATACAGTGGAGTTTCCAGTGCCCACGCTTCAGTTGTTCCTCTGAAATAAGGCGAATCCACTTCCACTATAGCAATAGGTGTTTCTAATCTTGATCCATCGGCGAAAGTGCAAACTTGAACTCTGTCAGTAAAACTATCCTTGTCGACGAGACATTTCCTTACCACGACACCGCTACATCCTGTATCTCGAAGCACTGTTACACAATACTTTCCAGCACACCCTTTCACAACTGGCATGGCCGTAGATCTAGAGCTGTTCACATCACAGGACATGCTTAGAGTTGCCAAGTCATTCTTGTTGTGAAACTCACTCCCCGCTGGTTTCCTATATTTCTTCTTACATGCTTTCGTCAAGTCACCCTCAGTCTCTTTACCATGTCGTTCTTCCACAATAGCTGCAACTTTGTGTCCAGAACCATTCTTCTTTGCACGACACTCGTATGATAGATGACCCGGTTTCCCACAGTTGTAGCATTTCCTATCTTTAGCTGAAGGCTTTGACGTAGACGTATCAGCAGGACTGGAACTCTGTAGCTTACTGGAACCTGACTTCTGTCCCCTAGAGATCACTTGGTTCGCCTTCGTTCCCCGTGCTTCTACGAACTGGTCCGCTAGTTTAGCCATCGCTGTAATTGAAGATGGTGTTCTCTCCTTCAGAAATAGGGAAAGATCCTGACCACAACAGTGAATGAACTGGTCCCTCAGCATGAGATCTCTCAGCTTCTCGTAGTTTTTTTCTGTCTTACTCAGTTCAATCCATCTCTCGGCATAACTTTGCAAGCGTGTAGCAAATTGTGAGAACGTCTCTCCTCCCTCGGGTCTAGCTGTTCGGAACGATTTCCTAAAACCTTCCTCCGTCATCTCAAATCTAAGTAAGAGCGCGTTTTTCAACTCATCAAAGTCTAGGGCTTTTTCCACTGGCAGACGAGAAAACACATCTAATGCTTTTCCCCTCAACAGAGCACTGAGGTTCGCTCCCCAATTGCCTCGCTCCCATCTCTGTGCCTCAGCATATCGTTCAAACCTCTGTAGGTAGGCATCCATATTGTCGCGAGTCTCATCGAATGCTGGTAACTTAGGTCCCCGTTTCATAGACGAATCCCTTGGAGTAAGAGTACTGGGTTTCTCCTCTCCACCTCCAGCTTGTAGGATCTCCAGTTTCCACTTGTGCTCCTGTTCCATTCGTGCTTCCGCTCGTACTTCCCGCTCAGCTTCTATCTTAGCCTGTTCCAACAGTAGATTCTTCTTCTCCATCTCGAATCTGAATGTTCTTTCCTTCTCTCGCTCATCTCTCTCTTGGGCTTGTTGCTCGCTGACGAACTTCTGTAAAGCTTCTCCCTCATACTTCATTTCCCTCCCACGAGCTATAAGATCTTGTAGTGACGACATGTTGGTAGCTACAGGTACAACAACAATGTAAAGGACTACTGACAATACAATACAACAAAAAACATGGACATATACTTACCAACCTTAAAGACTACCCGCGTGCTTCTGCTCTTCTCGTTTCTTTTTTCCTGGTACTTACCTAGACGGTTAATCCACCGAAGCTTCCATGAAGTCAACAAAGGACATGTTTTGAAAAAGGAAATAGCAGTCTTCAGTATTGCCCAAAACAAGAACAAATATCTAGTAAATAACCTAACATACAAGAAGTACAAAAACCTGGATTCAAATCCCGAATAACAACACGGAAGTCATCCCACCGCTGCCACCAATTTTGTAACGTAGGATGAGCGTCGAGTAGTTACACGGCAAATGAAAACAAGATTTCGAATACATATTTACAATTTATTTACAACATAAACAAATCACACTCACATCCACACAGTTTCACACATAATGATCCTATAAACTACACAAAAAGTCTCTGCTGCACCCTGAGGTAGTTACAGTTCTCCTGGACTCTATTGTAAGTCTCCTCGGCTCCAATAACAATATGTTCTGCTAAAACTTAGCAATCAGATGACTCTGATCAATGTCCACACAGGACACCAAGTTCCACAAAGGACAAGTTCCACACAGGACACTAGATTGGTGTATAGTACCAATATGTACATATAGTTACCACACTCCTGGTAACTGGAAGGTGGAAATACATTTCCAGTGCGGCCTCCGGCAACAGTCATTGTTGTAGTGTCGGCTGATGACCACGGTTGAGTTCCCCTTCTTTCACCACCAAACTAATTACTCTTGGTCTGTTCTCGTGTTCAGATCACCAAAAGGCTGACCTTGACTGACGTCGGTCCTGGCGCTTATCACTGGTGTCTCTAACAGGCCCCGACAGAGCTCAGCTGGTAGGCATCGAACCCTCACATGAAGCTTTAAACATAATAACAAAAACACCTAAGTACAACTCGCAAACATATCACATACGATTCCAAACAATTACTAATAGTAATATACTTAAGTTTATGCCCTATTAATTTTACACCAGATAACAATTAAACCTCTACAAAATATTATGAAAATATAAGCTAGAAAACAATAAGTTACGCTCTGATATCGTGCGGGTTCAGCATACAACAAATAACATAATTTATACAACACTTGAAGTTCTATATGGCCACTCATGTCTTCCATACTTTTCCATACACGCATATGCACTCACCTGATCGCGCTTTACTATATATACATAACATAAATATACGTTATACTACGTGGAATTGCATATAAAACAGATATCAATATAGATAGTTACAGCAACCAATAGCAATAATATTTGCAAAACCTTCCTAACAAATCATTATACATAATGTCACCATGAAACGCATGACTGAACCGCACGAGCGAACATCTGTTTACTTAGGATATTTATCCAGAAATGGGCTAAAACATCAGACAAAGAAACAGAGATATAGTAAAGAAATACTCACCACAGTCTGTTATCTGTGCCTGTACATGTTTCAATACTGCATTTGCAGTAGAATCGGGTAAACAAACTCAGCGAACTTGCTGGAGTTTCAAAGCGTCCCGCTCGGACTTACCCATTTCCGGTTACTCTCCAAAACTACGGTCGCTCAGAAGGAACAACGAACAAACATAGCACAAACATATATAAAAACAAATACACACATTCATACGAACGTGACAGATAGGGAAACCAGAAACACACATATTTTTTTTTGGCCTTAGAATTGCATACATAAGTTCATATAGCACAACCAGTGTTATGTTTGTGTGACGTTTCAATAGACCGTATATTGTGAACCATATGTCTCCATCATCAGACAAATGACCAATACAGCAAACACAAAGGTGTCAACCATGTATGAGATGGCCGTTGAATCACTGGTAACAAGCCAGTTTAGCATGTTAACCAACCTCAGACAAACAAACTTGAAAATTCTAATAGATTTTGAGGAGTTATTGTATAGGGCTGAATTTCACCCCCCAAAAAAGCTGTGTTTGAGACTCCACACGAGGTTCTTACATACCCTAGAGTGTGATGGTATTAAGTTAAACATTCCAGCATTATACCTCGCACCATTACCTTGACAGGTTCCCTGTTTGAGGCTCAACAATTCTAAATTATTCACTTTCGTAGTATGTGACAGGTGATTTCCAATAAGGTTGATGACTCTGATTACACAAGTTCTTACTTTAATACCCCAAAGTATGATGGCAATAAGTTTAACATTTCAGCAGTAGAAACAATTACACCTCTCTCCATTACCTTGACAGGTGCCCCGCCTATCCTCAGATCCCGAGCTACTGCCACAAGGTGACGGTTCCAGGCCAGTGTTGTCCATCTCTCTCATGTGATGTGCCAGGCTATGGAAACTACAACCCAGTCCCACAGCTTGTTCCCATTGTGGCCCCAACTCCACAGCCGGGTGTGTCGCCCACGCCCAGGCCGTCAGGTCTACCTCCCGTCATCCACGTCATCCCAAGTACCTCACTCGGCAACACCACCGGTGGCTTCCCAGGAGGTGGTTATCCAATCACAAACAACCAGATCTCCGGTGTCACAAGTAAGTCATGTAGATTATATATTTATCTCATCTTTGTTGCATCTGTAGCATTCACATTGTAGTTGTTGATAGACTGTTAATTCTGGCCCTAATAGTGAAATTTAATGCAAACAACATCCTGTATATAGCTTTAATCTAACACAGTCATTTTCTAGAACTGAAACAATTTGTGTTGTATGATTATCCTTTCTTCTGTATCAAATAATTTTGTTTGCCTGTATAAGAATACACTTACAATACTGGAAAAATCAGATAATTTCTCCTTAAACTCTAAAAAAGTGTACTTATTGCTTTGGAACCCTTCAGTTATATGTGGTCCAGTGGGCATGTCATACCCAAAAATACTAAAAATCATCCAAAAATATGATATTTTGATAAGATAATTCTTTCCTCAAACATGAAATTGACTTTTTAAGCAGAAAATTGTATTATGATACACATTGTGCTTTCAGCATTAGTATATTCAGTGTTGCAAAAATATTCCGTACAATGCTCTCTGTTCATTTTGCACTCTCTTGCATTGTACATACAGTTCTTGTTAGTGTGCTTTTTATAGTCAAGTTCCTGAATGTCTCTTACAAGGAAAGTTGTGAAAATAAGCTGTTAGAAAAGATATAAATTTCTCTTACAAGGAAAGTTCTGCAAATTAAACTGTCATAAAAGATCTGAATTTCTCTTACAAGGAAAGTTCTGCAAATGAAACTGTCATAAAATATCTGAATTTCTCGTACAAGGAAAGTTAGGAAAATTAAACTGTCATAAAAGATCTGAATTTCTCTTAGAAAATTAAACTGTCATAAAATATCTGAATTTCTCTTACAAGGAAAGTTCTGCAAATTAAACTGTCATAAAATATCTGAATTTCTCTTACAAGGAAAATTCTGCAAATTAAACTGTCATAAAAGATCTGAATTTCTCTTACAAGGAAAGTTGTGAAAATTTAACTGTTGTAAAAGATCTGAATTTCTCTTACAAGGAAAATTGTGAAAATAAGCTGTTATAAAAGATATAAATTTATCTTACAAGGAAAGTTATGAAAATTAAACTGTCATTTTCCTTGTGAAAACTAAACTGTCGTAAAAGATGAGCTATTTTGTTTGCCTTGATAGACCAGTGTATCTACAAGAACAAGCTGTACAACCAGGGCGAGAAATGGGACGATGACTGCGACTACGCATGTGACTGTATCGACGGACGCACAGGCTACTACGAATGTAAACCAAAGTAGGTCTACATCATATTAACATGTCTGTGGGAACAATGCAAATCAAGTTTGGAGGAATAAAATATCTAATATAAGAGATTTACATCAGAGGCTCCCATATTTTCTAACGTTGCATGTGTATCGTTATCTACTGAAGAGTCTTTCTCTCACTCTGAAATGCTTTAAATGTGATTTAATTAGTTCAACAATTATAATTTTATTTTTTCTTTAAACTAATCTGGTTTATTCCAATGATTGTGATTTATTTTTTGCATTTCAACTATTTTCCTTTTAGGATTTTTTTGCCCATGTTCTATTGTTTTGGCTAGCCTGTAGCTTGCAAATCTAGTTTCCCCTTTAATCAGCGGGGGTGATCCATTTGGAACCTGTATGACATTTTCATATCAATCCTTCAATACGTTTTACAGGTGCCCAGCATATCCAGATCTACCAGCTACCTGCTTCCTTATCAAGTCATCAGGCAACTGTTGTCGCACTCCTCAGTGTACCTACTACGGCATGGTGCTTGACCCAGTAGCCCACCCGTCAATAGGTATCCCTGTGGTGGGACAGTACTCCGGCGGATTTTCAGGCTTCAAACCAGGAATTAACTTCACACAGACTTTCCCATCAGGAGTCAGAGGTATTGGTCTACATCTGTCCTTTAGATTTAATTAGGGTCCGGCATGGAAGACGCAGTGCCCTATTCCGTCTTTTCGTATTGCAGAGTTATCTTCTCTTGTGAGCAGGTATTGATTGTTACGTCATTTGTTTGTGAGGGTAACGTTATCAATTTTTGAGAAAACGACGTAATTTTCTCACACAAACCAGTGACGTTACAATCAATCCCTTCTCACAAGAGAAGATAACTCTGCAATATGCAAAGACGGAATAGTAGTCTGGTTGTCTGTCGATCCGTCCGTCCATGGTCAAACACATTGTGGGGCCTTTGCTAAACTGTCAGTGCTCTAGTTTTGGGTTTAATAAATAGATATATATCACACATGTTCATCTGATGTCTCATATTGTATGAATGAATTGCACACATAAATATAATCCCTCTGGGACTTTAGTTTGAGTGAAATATGTCAATTCATGCAAAATACAAGATGCAATATGAGATGTCGGATGAACATATATGTGTGATATTGTTTTTAGGTCACCTGAGCTTTGCTCAAGTGACCTATTCTGATCGCTTTCCGTCCGTCGTGCGTAAACTTGTTACATTTTCGACTTCTTCTCAAGAACCAGTGGATGGAATTTTTTCAAACTTTGTCAGAATCATCCTTGGTAGATGAGCCTACACAATTTTAAAATTGGGATACCTACTCTAACCCCGGGGACTAGGACGAGGTCCCAACGGGAAAGTTGACCAATATTTCAAAAATCTTCTTCTTCAGACTCGGATGTAGTACAATCAAATTCTGTCAGGGGCTTTATTTATTTTTCAATTTTATTACCCCCGGACCATCCATTCTCCTTTGGGGAGGGGGTAAAGTTGATTTCAGTTTATATAGGGAAAAATACTTTTGGGTATATTTTGTCCATTTTCAGCAGGGAATTATTCAAACTTGGTTGAAATGATTATGATGCCAGATATGGCAATTAGATGGTATGAGAAAATAAGATCCTGTCCCATCCCCAGGGACTGGAGGGGTGGGGCCCAAATGGGGATTATGGTGAAAAGTTAAAAAATCTTCTTCATCAGACTCAGATGTTTTACTGTTCATGTATAGAAAGGTCCTTACCTATATTGTATTTCATTATCCCCCCAGAAATCTGCTCTCCCTTGGGGAGAGGGTATAATTCTCAATAGCAAAATAATTTATATAAATACTTTTTAAAGTTCTTATCCTTTGGTGACATGACAAGTATTGTATTTCACTTTGTTTACATGTTGTTTTCCACATTTTGTACATCTCAACTATGAAATTGAGCTACTGGTACCTATCATATAACTCAGGTGACCGCTAAGGCGCTCGGGCCTCTTGTCATTACATACCAACGATTGACTAACCTAATAACAATAGCAAACAAAACGATGGTAAGGGTAGAATGATGATGTCGCATTATCATTGCATAAAATAGTGATAAACAGTTTGTAACCATTCATACTTTCATTATATTGATTTGATCACCAATGAGTTCCAGCTTTGCTTGAGTGTTTAGCCTGCAGCGGGACAGAAATCCTTAATGATAATGCTATTTTTTGCAGATGTTTGCGTGTTCAAGGGCAAGATCTACCATCAGAATGACAAGTGGGACGATGGCTGCGACTACTCCTGTATCTGTGATGATTCCAGCACCGGGCACTACCAATGTAACACCAAGTATGTGTGATATTTGTCAGTTCCATAACATTAGACATTTGCTCTAGATAACATGCCAACTTTATATGTTAGACCGATCTGCAGATAGACATTGTCTGGTTAAAAAAATTGGCCCTATATAATAAAGTATTAATTTCTTTGAATCTTTTGGTAAATTTATACAAAAATTTTTTTTTTCTTTCTATAGACACATTTTTTGGGCAATTGTGAAGTGCATGTTAGGAAATCATAGTTAATTTGAATGAAAAAGAAAAAAAATACTAGAATTGTCTGGTTGAAAATTACTCAAACTCCAACAAAACTTTTGTGTTTCAGATGTCCAACCTTTGCCAAGCTACCATCCTACTGCTCTATGGTATCTCAGGCAGGAAGCTGTTGTAAGAAGGTTCAATGTGACCCTGGTCTGCTCCAGATATCAACGACCACACCTGTCACCCTTACACCTACCCCCTACCCCCCAACCCCCA